ATATTGCATGGCTTCTCCTATATGAGAAACTCAAAGTATAAATACAGAACAAACTAAAAGATAACAGGAGGTAGGAAGAGATATCCTTCTCAAAGGGGAAGGGGGATCAAGAGATGAAGGAGGAGGGAAGAGAATGGAGGGATAGGAGATAAAAAGATGTATTATGTACATATTTTATCAACTCCCCACAAGGAATGTAAACACCAAGTACTACAAAGACGTACTAATTTTTTTAAAAAGACAGTTTTGCAGGACAGGAGGGTGGATGCATCTGGAGCTGGGTGTGGCAGCACATGCTAGCACTTTGTATGGCTGAGGCAGAACAATTACAAGTTCAAGCACAGCCTGGGTAATTTAGCAAGCCTCTGTATCAGAAAAATAAAAATAAAAACAAAAATAAACACATGAAGGAAGGATGAAATACAGGAAGGGTGTGTTGGGGATTTAGCTCAGAGTTCAGTTCCTAGGAATAAAAAAAAAATCTTGTTTTTTTTTTGTTCTTTTTCGTTTTTTATCGGTACCAGGGATCGAACTCACAACTGTCTGCTTGCAAGGCAGGCGCTTATGCCGCTGAGCTAAATCCCCAGCCCCAAAAATCTAGTTCTTAAACAAAGTTCACCAGTTTTGTTACTTGCTTCTATGTTGTTATTTGTACAGTAACAACTTGCTTTAAAGTTAAGAACAGCCAGGATCACTGTTAGACAAAGCCCTCAGAAACAATTCCAGGGAAAGAAGCTATGTCAATCATGTTAAAGTTTATGAAGTTCCACACAGACAAATTTCACAAATCAAAATGATTAGAAGAAAAAGCTATGTAAAGGTATGTCTCAATGTTTCATATCAATAGTAACAACATACAAAATGATAGGGAAAATCTTTATTTAAAACAGGTAATTCACCTACTTCAATTCTAAAAAAACATTAAAAAAAGTCCAACTCAAAACTTTTTTTTTTTCAAGCAATGCCAAATGCTGTTTATTGGTAGTACTTTTAATTAAGTTTATTTCCCTCACATTAGCTGAGCAAAATGAGGGGCATCTCGTTCAGGGCTCCTTTACAGACCAGGGGAACATACTGAAACTATCTATTTATGTTTGGTATTGAGAACAATATTCTACTTAACGACATACCACATTTGTTCAAAAGTTAGCTTCCACCCTGATGCCTTGTAACAGGCATCTTAACAGTCAAGTTCAAACTCACTGAACATAAAAGCAGTTTCTTATTGCAAGGAACTTTTATTAGCATTTGGGCTTGGAAGAGATGGGGGTATAAGAAGAGACATAAAGAGCATGGTGCAAAAGTTCTTATGTGTTCAGAACCGATTTCTGAACAGAGAGGAAGGTGAAAGGGATTACTGATCTATGGAGAATGAACAGATAGGCAAATGCCCAAACTGACTCTCCCTGAGTCAGGGTGATTACTCTGCTAAGAAAACTTAGCTGTTGGGGGCTGGAGATTTAGCTCAGCGGCACTGATCCCCGGTACTGATAAAAAGGAAAAAGACAAAAAAAAAAAAAAAAAAAGAAAACTTAGCTGTTCTTTGGAAAATCAGCAGACTAGAAACCAGAAAATTAGAAATGGATCACAAAATAACCTGTTTTAATAAAACATTAAGTATCACTCATACTTCACTGGTAAAAAACAAGTAAGAAAGCCATTTACTTTTTTGATACAAAATACTGAGAAAAATTGTCCCACATATGAGATCGAGTTTCTCTACCTGTAAAGTGGTCTTGCTGCTGGATTTCAAAAGGCATAAGCCACTGGCTAAAAGGCACTTTGTGCTACCAAGATAACGAAGAAGCTAATTTACAAGAAGGTTTTTTCCTTTGCTTTGATTGCTGGTAATTTACTAGTGTGATAGTATCCAAGACAAATTTCACTTACATAGAAAAGTTTGATATGGAGTGGATTCTAAAGGAAGTTTAAGGTGGGTAGGTGAGGGAAGAGGTTGTCAGGGACAAGGAAGGAGGAAACTAAGAAAGGAAGAAAGTGAACAAAGAATTTTTGTGTCACATGGAGATTAGTTCTTCTTAGCAATTTTTTTTCTTTTTCTTTATTTTCTTTTTTGAGATAGGGTCTCACTACACAGTTCAGGATGGTTTTTAACTCCCAGTGATCCTCCAAGATCCTCCTCCTGCCTCAGTGCTGGGATTACAGGTAAGTGCCATCACATCCCGACTTTCTCAGCAATCTTTTTTTATTTTTGGCACTGGAGATCGAACTCACAACCTTCCACTTGCGGCAAGCACTTACGCCGCTGAGCTAAGTCCCTGGCTTTCCTAGAAATCTTGCCCTTACCAGTAGATACAAGTTTTTTCAACAGTGATGAACCATTACCAGTCAATTCTGCATCTTTTTTTATTATGGCTTATATCTAAATGTCCCCCCAAAGCCTCATGTGCTTATAGATGGGGCTTTTTTGGTAAAGGACTGGACCATAGGGGAACATTAGTTGACTGCTGTTAGGAGGGGGAGCTTGGTCAGAAAAGGTGGGCCACCTCCAAGGGTACCACAACTCCCTCTGAGTGTCTTGCTTCCGTCTCTGCTTCCTGATCACCATGACGTGAAAGGCTTTTCTGCAGCAGACTCTTCCAGTAGGCCTTTCTGCCTTGGAGCCAGCTGACTACATACTTAAATGTGAGCCAAAGTAAACCTCTCCTCCTTTAAATTGTAAGTGTCGGGTATTTTGTCCGGGTGATGAAAAGTTACTCAGACACCTTTCACAGTACCCCTACTTAGGGCACAGAGTAGAGGCTTGAAAGCTGTGTGAGAAATGAAGTAAATACTTGGGGCAGTAAATGTAGAAAGGAGGGAGTCTGATCTGACTCTCAGGTTCAGAAACCCTGCTTTACCCACACTGAGGGAAGAATGAAAGTGTTCGGCAGAAAGTTCATTTCCATCTGGATTAACTTCTAGTGGTGAGGTAAACAAATAACTTTAAAGCAACATAATAAATAAAAAAGCAGAATCCAAATATTCCTGGGCTCAGAAGGCACTGGTGCTCAGAGAGGTCAGAGCTGTTGGCCTCTGATGAGAAGCATGAAATTCTCCCTAGGACCTTCCCTCCAGGAGGCAGCGGTCCCAAAGCTCTGCTCTTAGCTGCGGAATCTGGAGATGCTGCCTTTAAAAAGTGCCTCAGGTCTCCTAAATTAGCTCCTGACAGCTCCTAGGCATTCTTGAGATCATTTAACACCTCATTAACAAGTTTATTACTGGTATTAATACAAATGAGCCAAACCTAATGTCTCCTCTCTTCTGTCTTCCTATCGCTCTTTCTGTACATACACAGGTAAAAGCACACTTCTCCAGTAATACCAAATGAGAAAAAAAAATGCAACTATTAATAATCAGGAAATACCCATAAGGATCCAATGCTATGTGTGAAACATTAATGAAATATTTTCCTATTTCCAAAAAATCTTTTCATAAAGCTACCAAGAACCTACAGTAGATTGGAAAAAATATTTAGACAAATTGTGATTTAAGAAAAGTCTTAGGCAGGGTGTAATGGTGCACACCAGTAATACCAGCATCCAGAGACTGAGATAGGAGGATTGTTGTGAGTTTGAGGTTAGCCTGGGCTATCAAGTGAGTTGAAGACCAGCCTAAACTGCATAGTAAAAGCCTGCTTCAGAAAACACACACAGACACACACACACACACACACACACACACACAAAAGTTTTAATCAAAATCAGATAAACCATATTCTTGTTTTGCAATGCAAACCAAATCAACCTTACAGTAAAGTATTATACAAATATAAAGCAAAAACATCAAGGCTAATTATGTGAAATCTTTATAATAGCCATATTAAATTTAAAAAAGCATTAAAATCCAGGTGTGGTGGTGCATGCCTGTAATCCCAGTGCTCAGGAGGCTGAGGCAGGACTGTTGAGAATTCGAGGCCAGCCTGAGCTACATACACAGTGAGTTCAAGGCCAGCCTGCACTACAAAGCAAGACCCTGTCTCAAAACAAACAAAAAACCCAACCAAACAACAACAACAAAAAGCATCAAAAAACAAATAAATGTTTTATACTGGCAATGGCAATACTTTTAGTATAGAATAGTCAACAGACACACAACCTCAATTGTTCCCCTATCATTATTGATCTGCAGTCAACACTGCCCTCTAGTGATACAAAGTAAAAGTCAAATATCTGAAAGAGAATGTCATACTTTATTGTTCCTTTTTATATGTTTAAACCAGGGCATCTACAAATCCTCCTAAAGATAAACATTCAGGAGGGCCTTCATTATCCCCTTATGCTAAATTAGAAACTTTTTACAGAAGTGTTAAGTCAAGGATCCTTAACAAGTGTTATTCATGGAACTGCAGCTCTTCAATACATTATTAATGAAACATCACTACACAGTGCATTATATCTTTGCATAAAATTATGCAATTCAACCTGGATATGGCAGCATATACCCATAATTCCTGCAGTTTGAGAGCCTGACACAGAAAGTAATGAAAGAAAAAGAGAAAGAGAAAGGAGAAAAAAAGGAAGGGCGGGCAGGCTGACAATGTAGCTCAGTGGTAGAGAGCCCATGGTTTCAATCTTCAATACCATAAGGAAAAGAGAAACAATTTGAGGATTCTGAGAGCATATATATTTATCTTATGGGCTAAGAAGGCATATAAAGTGAAAGCCTCACCATGTATAAGTAAGAGTCTTGCACAGGAAAGAAGCCAGTGTTGTTCTGAAGACATGGGCACGTAGCACACTCAAGTATCCATGGGAACCAAGGTCTCCCAGTCTGCCACCTCTGCCCACTAGGAAATCTGGCTCTCTACTTTAGGGGAAAAAAATATCTTTCAACTTTACTTAAAACTTTAAATAAAATGTGTGGCCAAGAAACCTGGGTACTAACCCAAATAAAGAGGCACCTAACAGCTATTAAATAATCTACTAATGAATTTTTTAAAAAGCACACTTGGCTGTGAAGTGTCACGGAGATAGGAAATGGTTCAAGGGATGAAGACTCACCAAGGCTGGTGCCATCCTCCCCCATGATGCATGTCATAGAGGTGATAACCTGCTCCACCACAGGCGGCGACAGGGATGTGGCATACACTGCACTGTGAGAGTGTGTGCGCAGATAGTCTATCAGCTCCTGGGGAGTTCAAAAAGGGAGCTAGTTAGAGGCAGTTCTTGAATTAATTGGCAATGTTTGTGCTTTCCTTCTGCATGCCAGTGGCCTCCTCCTTTCAGTGGCCTGGAGTAATCTGAGATGAAAGGTGGTTAACATGGTCAAAGCAAACTGATGGCAACAACTTGATCAGAAGCATGGCAAAGTCCTTAGGCTTTGTTTTGTTTTTTTTTAAACTAATCTTAAAGAATCTAAGTAAAATTGTAAGATATATCACTTAATGTTATAAGTAAATTACAAAGCTGGATTCAATAAAATGTTTGGTTTGCTTTTTTTTTTTTTTTTAAATACAGCAATTGACTCCTTAGTACAGCAAAACAGAAATATCATCTGCTTTTTGCCCTCTGCCTGCAAAGCCCATCCTTACTCCCCTAAATAATAAGAGACAGTTCTCTGGAACTGGGGATGCAGTTCACACACACACACACACACACACACACACACACACACACACACACACACAGAGTTCTCTGACATCAATTGTAAGAATATCTACATCAGAATATTCCCAAGATACATAAAGATTTATAAAATGATATGAATGCAGTAGATATTCAGTAGATCTTTCTAAAACAATGCCATCTCACTGAATAAAATAAAACCTTGTCAGTTACAAAGATTTTTAAAACTGTGTTTAAAAACAATTTAATTCAGTTACTTCTTCATTTAATTTTTTAAAATGTGCACAAAATAAGCCTACATACCAAACCAAATAAAGACATACAAAATATAGCTATAAAACAATTACTACTTCTAAAATACTAAAATTTATCTATCTATAATCTAACCCAAAGCCCCAATGTATTCCACTTAAATGATCTCCCAGAATTTTTCTATTTTTAGTTCATGCCAACAAATCCAAAAAGCTGCTAAATTCTCAAAGTGAGCCCATTCCACTAACAAAAAAGACAAACTTTGAGAATAAAAATATCTAGGCCATTATGCTTTCTCCTGTATGGTTGGCCTACCTCCATGCTGTATAGTCAATTTCTTTATCTTTCACTTGGCCCAAACTCATTCTGCAGAGCTGTTTCTTTTCCTACCTTAATCAAACTTTGCTACTGTTAAACCTCTTCCCCATTCTGGTGCTGTAGTCTGAATCCAGGACCTCACATACACTTAGGCAAATGTTCTACCACTGAGCTACATCTCCAGTCGGTGAATGTCTGTTAAGACCCCCAGTGCTGAGCTTCACAAAGGAATTTAGAATATTTATGAACATTTACTACATATTACGTACAAGTATCTGACATATACTATTTCTTTTTCTAAGGTTGCAGTAAGCTTTTAAAAATAACAGCTGTGTGGAGAACCATATATCGTTGTATCTTCCTTTTTCAAGCATACAACTTATGGCTTTTACTGTATTCAGAGCAGTATAATGAAATTCCTATCTAATGTTACAACACTTTCATCACCCTAAAGGGAACCCTCAAACCCATAAGCAGCTGCTTTTCATTTCCTCTGTCTCTTGAGCCATTGACAACTACTCATTACTTTCTGTTTCTCTGCCTATCTTGGATGTAACATAGAAAAATAAATTCATCATACAATGTGTGACCTTTTATAAATGACTTTCACTTAATGTTTCAAAGTGTATCTGTGTTTTAACGTAGACATACATTTTTTCACCTTTACTGCAATATTATAAGTTAGGTAGGGCTGGGGATATAGCTCAGTGGCACCAAGTGCCTGTCTGGCCAGGACAAGGTCCTGAGTTTGATTCCCTGTACCAAAAAAAAAAGAAAAGGAAAAGGAAAAGAAACACCCCCAAAACAAGCTATGCATACTTAGCTGTATCTTACTGACAAGGAAACTTAAAAGTGTCAGTGCTGCCCCCAAGGTCTCAAGAAGCAAGGGGAGAAATATTCAAGTCCAGTTCCAATTCCATGGTTCAACATTTCCATGTTCTTAAGTGACCATGGAGTGCAATACATATTTTTAAAATTGAAAACTACAGTGCTTTGATGTACCCCAGAGCTACTATAGTCTTCCTTCTTCCTGTTTCTTGAGGCCAAGGGCAAGGCAACTGGTCTTTCTATTGCCACTGGTTCTCATTCCTTTTAAAATTGTGAGCACAGTTTAAACCCAACAGAAGACTAGCCAACAGGAAACATCATTGTGTGTTCTTTCACAAAAGAGGGTATTCTGTATTTGGGACCAGAATGCTTGTTTAGAAAGATGCTCAAATGGGCCCGGGATTTAGCTCAGCAGCATAAAAGCATGGTCGTGAGTTTGATCCTTGGTACCAAAAAAAAAAGACGTTCAAACAAGAAAACAACAATGAACAGAACTTGCCTTTAGCTCAACGAGCAGATGTAAGAGATGCTCCCTAGACAGCCAAACTGGTAAGTCTATTGGCAGTGGGACCCTAAGCCGCAAATTCAGGATCACCACACCTTAGTTCAAGTCTTCCAGACACCATCTTTGTCTTTAATTACCCATTCTCAAGACCCATTTACCTTTTTGCCTCCAATGTATCCTCCAGCAGCACCAAAGCTCTTTGTGAACGTTCCCATCATAACATCTACATCCTCAGGATCCAGGCCAAAGTACTCTACCACACCTCGACCTGTAGGGCCAAGGGCCCCGATGCTGTGAGCCTCATCCAGATACAGGTACGCCTTGTATTTCTTCTTGAGGGCAATCACTTCAGGAAGGCGAACAATAGACCCCTCCATACTGGCAAAACAAGATTTTAAAAAATACATGCGCTGAAAACTTTTTAAATTTAGGAACTGTCCACGTCATTTTTTTTTCTGGGGAGGAGTTACTCATATTCGAACTCAGGACCTCACAAACTTGCCAGGCAGGTGCCGTGCCACTGAGCTTTCTTATTTATGCCATCACTTTCTTATTTATGTTTTCAGTTCATGCACCTATGGGTTCAAAGTGACAAAGTCAAATGAAGCTGTTTAGGCAGTAGGCAAAAGGAGATTACATCTTTCAAGACAAGTGCTGGCACAGTGCCTGCCTGGCAAGCATGAGGTTGTGAATTCGATTCCCAGTTAAAAAAAAAAATTTAACCAAAGAAAAATATTTCTTAAAATTAAATGTATAATTTGTTTTGACATATTAGAATCTGTACATATATATGTTTTTATTTTCTTTTCTTTTTTGGAGGGTCTTGGTATGTGTAGTTCAGACTGCCTTCGACTTGCAATGTGCAATGTAGTCCAGGCTGGCCTTGAACTCACAGCAATCCTTCTGCCTCAGCCTTCTGAGTGCTAGGATTGTAGGCATGTACCACCATCCCCAGTTTAGAATCTATATTCTTGCCCCTATTTGTAAAGTTCACTCTACAAACAGTAGAAAAATAAAGGATCCAAATAGAACAGGGAATTTGAAGACTATATAGTATTCAGACAAAATAGTTTCTGTTCAGTCCCAATGCAGAATCTGCTACAATGCATTTTATTGCTCTGTTTTGCTTTTTTAAGACAGGCTGGCCTGAACTCACAGTGATTCTCCTGCTTCAGCCTCCCAAGTGCTGGGATTACAGGCATGTGCCACTACACCTGGCTTCTACTAGGTATTTTCAAAAGTTAACACTGTTTCCTTAGTTTCTAGCTAGGACTAGTCTAGCATTCTCTGAAGCTTAAGAATTCTTTGACTTCAAGAGCCCAAGACACATAGATAAGACCAGTGAAGCAGGATTACCTATATATTCCTTCCACGAGGATTAGAATTTTCTTCCAGGGCCTTCGTGTCCGAGGCTGACCATAAACAATGGCATCTTTCAACAGTTTCTCTAAGCTTTGCATATCTACAACACACACAAAAAAACTGAGTCACAAAGTATCTTCCTCCTAACTGTATTTCAAAATTCTGTATTTCTTAATCAGGAACCATGGCTCAGACAGCAGAGAACATCAATATAACCAGAGTTGAACACTTAAAGATAAGGCAAATGGGTCAACTACTATCACCTTTAGTCGAAATCTAAATGTTCAACCTGATTAAATGACTGGTGGTTGATTGCCTCAGCTGCTTAGTATGCTTATGAAATGACAATGTTTCATGCTGAATGTACCTTTGAGTTACTTTTTAGAATCAAACTGTATCTAAAATTAATGAGTCATGTAGAAATAAAAGCATAAAAACGACCTAGCAAGAGTGTGAACATACCATTGCAAATACATATATCTTAAAAAACAAATATGGAAGGCACAAACTTTAAAGTACAAGATCTGTTTCCTTTCACCTGACACTTAATAAACACATTGTTAAATAACGTATCTTGGTACTGCATTAAAAAATACATCAGTCCTAAAAAAAAAAAAAAAAAAAAAATCAAAACAAAAAACCCCAAAACACATGGGCCAAGGATTTAGCTTAGTGGCATAAGTGCCTGCCTTGTAAGTACACAGTCATGAGTTCGATCCCTGGTACAAAAAAAACCAGTCTGGAACCCTTATGAATGGGAATCTCTGTGTTTTGGGATTGTTTCACATCTAACTTTATCAGTTATTGATACATAAGCAAGTTCTTATGACTCTGTTGGTCATAAGGTGGTCAATAGGCCTACAAGACAATTTGGTGGAATTACCATTAATGAGGATCCTAATTTTCCTGTTAAAAGACAAATTCCTTGAAGATCACTGTGCTACCATGATAGCTTTGTACTTTTATTTTTTCTGAAATGAAGTCTTTAAAAACTTCCCCCAAATCTACAAGTAATGATATATATTTAGTAGGTCTGAGCGACACCATAAAACCTGATTGTGTTTTTTATTGCTTGTCGCTAGAAGGGGTTACAAAATTATATGATTTTGCTCTTTTCATACAAGGACTCCGGAGCCAGTGTTGCAGAGCATGCTTACAATCCCACTATTTGGAAGGCTAAAGCAGGAAGATCTCTGGAGTTTGAGGTCATCCCGGACTCCACAATATAAAGGCCAGCCTAAACTACAGAGTGAGACTGTCTCAAACATACACACACACACACACACACACACACACACACACACACACACCAGACACACAAATAAGACAGTCAAAGGTTGCAACTTTGCTTGCACCTTCTGTTATTTGCAAAGCTGCACACTACCTAGTAGAAACAGATGTTCCTCCCCAGAAGAAATGTCCTAACCAGAGATGTCTTAACTATTCCTGCCACAGACAGTAATATATGGCAATCAGCAGGAGACAAGTAAAAGATGTACTTGAGCTTCCTGTGTTTATATTTAGAAAGGAGAATAAACATTTAGTCAAATTTTACACAAAAGGAAATACCTACAACAGAATGTTCAACCATATTAACTACTTTAGAAAAACATTCAATCTCTCTTCTACATTATGCCCCCAAATGCCGTATCAATTTAAAATATGCCACAAACCTTCCAGAAAAAAGAGAATTATCTTATTATCTTAGAGGGAAGAATGCATTAAGTCAAATTCAAAAGTCATGAGACAAAAAGTGTTTCAACATAAACATTTTATTTTAAATTTTACTTTTGCGGTATTGGGGATTGAACCTAGGGCCTTGCAATCAGCTACAGCCTCTGCACTTTTTATTTTGAGACACGGTGTCATGGAGACAACCATTCTGTCCCTGAATTTTCGATCCTCATGCCTCAACCTTTCAAACACACTGTGTGTGTATATGTGACACTGAGAAATAAATCTAGAGCCTTCATACTGAGCTACACATGGCCCCAGCCCTTTTTTTATTTTTTATTTTGAGACAGGGGTCTCTCACTAGGTTGCTAAGTTGCCCAGACTCTGCTCAAAATTGCAATCCTGCCTCAGCCTCCCAAAGTGCTGGGATATACTCCTGATTATATAATCTGTCTGTACAGCAAGACATTAAACAAAATAAAAAATACTGCAAAATAAAAAAAAAGGACAGTAAAAGGTTCTTATAATGTATAAGAAAAGAAACAGTCTGAAAATGGTCTACCTATACCTATGAATACATAACTATAATTATTCTAGATCTAGTAATCAAAGAAATAAAAATGGATATATTATCTACTTATTAGATTCAGAAAGATTTAAGTTGATACACAACTATGTTAGTCTATGTTACTCAGTGAGTGCAACAGTCATTGTCCTGTTGTTTGTACAATGCTTTAGGAGTAATTTAGACAAGTATTAAAAATTTTGTCTTTTAATCTGGCATTCTGAGACTGCTAGGAACTAAACAGGTGTGCCTAAATGTGATTGTAGTGCTGTTTCTTTCTTTCTTTCTTTCTTTTTTTTTTGGTAGTGCTGTTTCTGATAGAAATATCAGAAACAACCTGAGGTCCAAAGAAGGGACCAACTGACTTATGGTATGCCCTGATGCTGACTGTATACTGGCATCAAATGATGAATTAAGTGTACTAGGACTGACAGTTTATATTTAACATGTAATTTAAAAAAAAAAAAACCACACGACGTTTAACATGGTTTCATTCATACAAGCAAAACGGCCATACACTGTACCATTTTCATCTCAAAAAATTTTTTTTGTAAGACAGGATCTGTTTATGTAGTTGTGGATAGACTAGAACTCACTATGTACGTCAGGCTGGTTCAAACTCACAATGATCCTCCTGCCTCAGCCTCCCTAGCAGTAGGATTCAGGTATGTAGCACCATACCTAGCTGCAAACATTTTAGACAAGAAAAAAAGGAAGTTACTCCCTCTACAGGTATGTATGGACCTAACATTTTGAAACATTATAGACATTGATCTGTATGTCCACACATTTTGGCAAAAGAAGGTATTAAATATAGGATTTGGTAATCTTTTTCTCCCTGTGTGCTTTAATTACTAAAATTATGGTGTGCATTTTAAGTTTTTGTTTGTGCATTTGTTTTCTGAGAAAGGGTCTCACTAGTTCAGACTGGCCCTGAACTCACTATGTAGCCCAGGCTAGCCCTGAACTCAAGGCAATCCTCCTGCCTCGGCTTTCTAAATGCTGGGATCACAGGCATGAACCATCCCGACTGGCTATTATTTTAATCATACACAAAGGTATGTGTTTTCAATTAGGGAGCAATTTGGCTTCATGCCCCTTTCTCTCCATTTTAAATGCATCTGTCCATCTCTGCATTTCAGTGTCTCTTGTATTTTAAGTGCTAGCTTATCTTCTAAATCTCTTCATTAACCAGAGATCCTTGAAATTAGAGAGGGATCCTAATTACTCATCTCTATATCTGTAGAGTTGCCACAAGATATACCATAGGCATCTAGTAAGTGGACCTGAATGAGGAAACCAGATGGAAAATTTCAAAGTCAAATAAAAGGAGACTATATTTTACATAAAAGACTTCCTTCAACCTCTCTGTTTATTTCAGTGAGGAACAGAGTAACTCAAAGACTGGACCAAAAGAACATTTTAAGTGTTCTACTTTAGTTCAATTTGTATTTTCAATTATTAATGTAACTAATGTAACACAACCACTGACCAAAAGACTTTGAATCACTAAGGCCAGTGGTGGATTTTATGGGAACTCACTGTTGTGTTTGAAGATTCGAATAGTAGCTCCTGACAGTCTGGCTCCTAGAACCAGTGATGCGTGGTTCAGCTCATCACTCAGAATAAGGCAACCCTGTAAAATCACAAGCACAGGAAGGTAGACAGTGGAAGGGAAAGGGTTAGTTACACAATTATAATATAATTACACCTTATTAAAGAAACTTCCCACAACAACAAAGTGATTAATTTTTAAGAAAAAGTATTTTACAGAGACATCTTACAAGAAAATGTAAATTCTAGCCTACTTATTACTATCCACAGTCCTGTGACTGACTTAAATATTCAGCTACATAACAACAGCTTCTTATTTATGCTTAAAATCTGAGATAGCACAATCTTTAAAAGATTTTGGCTTCTTTGATTTGAGAGAACTGTGTTTGAATTTTGTAGTGATGTACTGTTTATTTGTGAGAAATAGAAGCTGCAGGGTAATGCCTGGAGAAGTGCTGTTTCTTTTCTCTCACTAACCATACCTAGAGTCCAAGAAGGATCCTCTGTATAAACCCCATATGATGTGTTAAGTCAAAGCTTTGTACTTAAAATCTCCAAACAAGCTTTAACATATAAAAATGGATTCCTGCTAAGGCAACAAAGCCGAGGTTTTTCATTTTTTATTTCTTCTCCAGTTCTTACTCTTCCAACCCTTGTAGAGTCCCTCAGCCTATAACATATGAACCCAGAAACAAGTTTTTCACCATCAAATATGGTTTCAAAATGCCAATTATGTGAAAAAAACAAAAATAATGCAAAAGTCATATAACTTGCTCCCATGAGAATAAAAAGACGTATAGCTTGGTGGCAGTCATTTGGCCTATCAACCATCTATATTTATTAAATGACATTCTATCTGAAATTTTTACTGCACATATTTTTATTACTAAGATAAAAGCTATCTAGTTAAAAATATATAGATTTTTAAAAAGCAGCTGGGGATATAGCACAGTGGCATAAGCGCCTGCCTGGTAATCACAAGGTCTTGAGTTTGATTCCTAGTACAAAAAAAAAAAGCGGGGGCCAGGGATTTAGCTCAGTGGCATAAGAGCCTGCCTGGCAAATATGAAATCATGAGTCTGATTCCCAGTACAAAAAAAAAAAGACAGAGTTGGAGATATGACTGTGAACTGATTTTTAAAATTCATATATATTATACTTATTATCTAATTCACGAATTCCTTTTCCAATACTTAAAAACATAGGTGTGTATATGCATGACCTAGTATACATATATACATTTATTTTCTAGATCTATTCACTTAGAAGCAGTGAAACCCTGTAGCAAAAAATACACCTAATTCCTACACCTTGGTTTCTAAATAAGATTCTTCTATAAATAAAAACCCTAGAGTTCCTTGGAGAGCTGGCTGATTCCAAAGCTGTTAAAGGGAAAATACAAGATGAGCCTGGGGCATTTTATGATGCAAAAAAGTCAAAGTAACACTATGAAATAGGTAATTATAATCCCCATTAAACATATGAAGACACTCTCAGGCAGGTGTTAAAGCTCTTGCCCAAGGGCACAATTTAGTAACTTGAAACAAAGCTCCTGCCACTATAACATGCAGTCTTACCTCTTTAATACACTCTATACCTCTGAACTGAGCAATCAACCACCGCACAGAGAAATTCAGTATCAAGAGTCAAAGAATTACTAAAACTAGATCAGTCACTGTTCTTAACAGAGTAAGTGGTATGTAACAGCATTTCAGCTGACTTGGAAAAGAAATCTTCAAGGCAATACCTTCCATATCTTTGTAGAAGAAATCTAATTCTAGATAAATCTTTGTTAGAATTTATGGGCATACAGACAAAATTAAAATGAGGTCATTTAATTGTCCAGTGTAAAAATCCCTAAGAAATTCCACATAATTTCAGGTTTATACTGTCGGAACGCAGGACCACAATGTAATATAGTGAAAGTAAAGTTAAAGAACCACATGTCTTCCATGGATTTATCAATTTTATACAAGTTGTATTTACTGGCATAATATTACTCTTAACATTCCCATTAAACACCTTTACTGTCTGCAGAATATGCAGTGATGTCCTCTCTTTCTCTCCTGCTACTACTATGTGTGCTTTTCTTTCTTTTTATCCTGATCAGTTTGGCTAGAGATTTATCAATTTTATTCTTTTTCTCAAAAGAATTTAAGTTTTACTCATTTCCCCTATTATCTAATTTATTAATTCTTACTTTTTTTTTTCTTACCGGTACCGGGGATTGAACTCACGACCGCCTGCTTGCAAGGCAGGTGCTTATGCTGCTGAGCTAAAGCCCCAGCCCCTCTTACATTTATTTTTGTTACATACTTCTTTCCACTTAGTTTGTTCTATTATCATTTTATTAAGGTAAAAATGACTTTTTTCCTAACAAAAGCATTTAATGCTAAACATTTTCATCTGAGCACTGCATTAGCAATCCTACAAATTATGACACATTTCTATTTTGCAATATTTTCTGTATTCCCTTAAATTTTTTCATCTTCACCCCATGGATTATCTAGAAGTATGTGGTTTAGTTTTCAAATTAAAGCTTTGTGTTCTACTTTCCTCTTTTTTTTTTTGGTCTTTTTCCTTTTTATCGGTACCAGGGATCGAACTCACGACTGCCTGCTTGCAAGGCAGGCGCTTATGCCGCTGAGCTAAATCCCCAGCCCCTCCTCTTTTTTTTTTTTTTGAGATAGTCTTGCCATGTAGCTCAGGTTGCTCTTGAACTCACTACATAGCCAGACTGGCTTTGAACTTGCAGCAATCCTCCGGCCTCAGCCTGTTGACTAATGAGATTACAGGCAGACACCACCAGACCCAGTGTGCTACTGATTTCTAATTTAATTTCACTTTGGTCAGAGAATGTATTTTGAATAACCTCAATACTTTTAAAATTCATTAAGTCTTATTTAACAGCTTTAATTACAGTCTGCCTTGGTAAATATTTTACTGTTGGGCCAGGGTTGTAGCTCAGCAGAACAGTGCCTGCCTGGCAAGTGCGAGGCCTTGAATCTGATTCGTGGTATCCAAAACTAACTAACTAACTAACTAAATAAATAAATAAATTTGTTGTTGTGTGAAATACCTCATAATATACTAGTCAATTGGTTGGTGGTTTTTCTAAGTGTTTTGTATCTACAACCATAGCGGTTTTCTGTTAGGTCCTATCACATGAAACAGGGGTGCTAACATCTCTAGTAATTCTGCATTTGCTTACTTAAGATTCACCAGTTTCTATTTTGAAACTCTGTCATTAGGTGCTTATACATCTTCATGAATTATCTCTTTTATCTTTATACAATATTCTTTTTTATTCTCAGACACATTCCTTGCCATGAAATTTTTTTAGATTAATATATATTTATATATAATTTGACTGTTTGGTAACTACATTTTCATACTTTTCTATGTAAGAGAAAAACACCTATTCAATAACTTTCTGAACAAAAATTTTCATAGTTTTTAGTTTTTTAGAAATTTTTATTATCAGAATCTCTTCAAAACTGTTTATGAAATGAAGAAAGCAAGAATCCTCTAATCAAGGCAGGTGACATCCTAGGTTCTGGCAAGAAAGCACCAACTAATAACAAGGCTCCATGAAATAAGTTGTCTAAAATTCTGTGATAGAAATATCTCTGGGTAAACTATGCTTAGTCTAAAGTTAAAAATAGGTTGTGGCTCATTCTGAATCCTTCCTTCTTTCCCTCCCTCTGCCTGCCTGCCTGCCTTCTCTCTTCCCCTTCCCTCTCCTCTTCCCTCTCCCCCTCTTTCTGTCTCTCTCTTATTCACGCACTCTCACTCTCTCAACATGGTCTCACTATGTAGCCCAGGCTGGTCTCCAACTCGTGGCAATTCACCTGCCTCAGTCTGCTGAGTGCTAAGATTACAGATGTGCCCTACCAAGCCTGATTTAAATGCTAGCTTTCTTGCTTTTTTAATTTGGACAGGACAGGACTACACAGTTCAGGTTGGCCTTGAACTCACGGTGATCCTCCTGCCTCAACCTGAGTCATGGGATGACAGATGTGTGCCACAATACCTAGCCTGAATACTTTAACAAAAAAAGGAGATGAAGTAATAATAATAATGTATTGGAATTTTCACAAATGACAGTGTCTTACTTTGCCGACAAGAGCAGGAATGTTCATTGAATTTGTTGCAAATCCCATGCCATATGCCATAGCAGCTTCTACTCCCAAGAACCTTGCTACAAGCTTCTCTAGTTCTTCATGCTTGTCCAGGTTGCCTGTGTGAAGCAGTTAACAAAATCAATTAATTTTGAGTAAATTCTAAATTTAAGACTACCACTATATAAAAAAGAAACCAATCTGTGTATTATGATCTTTCAGACTAAATTCTGTGAAGGAGTCAGTATTACAAAGCGGGACACCTCATAAAGAACACAATAGTTGAATACATTCAGATCCAACACTTGTGATAAAAGGAGAGGTTGCCAACAATTTTGTCTGTACACGCCAATTCCAACTCTAGGCCTTAAAAGGCCTAGCAAATTTTGTTTTTATCCTTCAGAGTCCCCTGCTATGCAAAACTGTAACTGGCCTGTTGTAGGGGCAGAACATAGGGAAAGAGGCACTCTGAAGAGAAACAGGAAAGAAGCGGTAGAGGGAGACTGACAAGAGCAGGGGAGAGGGGAAAGGGCCTTGGCTTGCCCTTAGCAGTGCCCCGCCCAGCTGGGGTGCTATGCCAGTAAATGAAGCCATTCTGGACACTCTACCCTCAGTCATAATGGCCCACTGGACACCACACGGCGCCAAAACAGCATCAAGTCCTCCCCAAATCGTAGAATCACAATTAGATACATTTGTTTTACTTATTTGTGGTGCTGGCGATCAAATCCAGGTACTCTAAACTCTAGCGAAGTGCTCCAGCACTGAGCTATACTTTCAAGCTCTCTGATGTTTTAAATGACTGAGTTTAGGATGGTCTGTCATACAGGATATGACAGGTAAAAAGCATCTTTTCTCACTTTGACCAGACTGGTAAATTTGTACTCAAATCCTTAAGGACCAAATAATACGGCAGAAAGAAAAAATGCTGACCAAGATCCCTAAACTTGATAATAGTATGTGTCTTTAAGGGTTACCTGAGTAGCTTACAATCTCTCTGGGCCTCTGTTTCTTACTTACTAAATATCAGTTATTAGTTTGTCCTTTCTACTTCATGAGACTGTTGTGAGGATAAAATGAAATCACATTCAAGCACTTTATAAGAGCACAATGTCATAAAGATATAAAGTGTGCTTTCTACCTTTTGTCACTGTACAAGTCCTCAATCCATCATGAAATCAAAGAACCTATGATTTCTGAAGTGTCAGTCAGAAACTTAGTTTTAAAGATGGAAGATTAAAATATTCTACTCCCATTTTCCTGTTAGAGGACATCACAAAACAACTGGGAGAACAAGAAATTAAAACATAACTATTTTGTGCTAGGAGATAACTATAATCCTTGACACAATTAACAGAAGGATGAGTTGAACTGGGTTCTATTAAAAGGATAAGTTGAGGGGCTGGGAGTACAGCTCAGGAACAACACACTTACCTAGCATGCTGAGACCTGGGATTGATCCTCAGTACCAAAACAAAATAAAATAACAGCAAAAAATGGGTATTTTGAAATCCTACCCTATACCATTGAAAATGACTTTTGTAAATTGGCCATTAGAATGCTTTACAGAAGCAATCTAGAAAGATAAGCCCATTGGCGTGGTGACAGTGTCCTCACAAGGAAGATTTGGCGACAGAAACAAACACCCACAGCATGCAAAAGGAGATAACATTTTACATGCAGGAAGCCACCATGTGACCACAAGCCAAGGGGCAGCAGCACAGTCTGCTGGTCAACACCAGATGCACTGGAAGGATTCTCCTCTAGGGCAGGCAGAAAGCGCAGGGTGTGCCCACTCTCTGACCACACATTTCTAATATACAGATCTACAAGATTATAAAGCACTTATTTTTTTCCTCTTTTTTTTTTTTTAAAGTGTTTGTTTTCTGAGACCAAGGGCTCATTATGTAGCTCAAACTGGTCCTGAACTATGTACCCTAGGCTGGCCTTGAACTCACAGCAATCCTCTTGCCTCAGTCTCAAGTGCTGAGATTACAGGCATACAACAGCACACCCCGCTAAAGCATTTATATCACCCAATTTCTTGTTCTAAGTACTTGTACTCTGTAACTACAAGATTATAAAGCATTATCTTAAGTCACCCTATTTCTTGTTCTATGACTTGTACTTTGTAACAGCAACTGTAGGAAACTAACTATAGATGGAAAATGATTTAAGAGTTTAATGGGCCAGGCACAGTAGCACATACCTGGAATCCCACTACTCAGGAGGCTGAGGCACCCTGGGCTTCAAGGCCAGCCTGCACTATACAGTGAGACCGTGTTTATAGCAGCATTGTTCCCTACAGCCAAAATGTGGAAAAAAATTGTAATTTCTGTGTAAACATGGATAGACAGGACATAGTGCACTTCCAATGAATTCAGTCAGAAAATGCAATGGAGGCCAGACATAATGGCACGCACCTACAGTCCTAGCACCTGGGAGGCTGAGGTAGGAGGATTGCTGTGAGTTCAAACCCAGCTTAGCCTACACAGTGAATTCAAGGCTAGTGTGAACTATATGGTGAGATCCTGTCTCAAAAAGCAAAAGCAAAACAAAACAAAAGGAATGGAGTATCTGAGGTATGCTATGAAGTTCTATAATGAACCAGTCTTACAAACATTATGCTAGATGAAAGACACAAAAACCACAATACTGTAGGATTCCATTTATATGAAATGGTCACAGTAGGAAAATTCATAAGAACAGAAAGTAGAGTGCTGGTTGCCAGGGACTTAGAGGAGAAGGTATAGATTACAAAATATGCTAATGGGTATGGTATTCCTTTTGGGGGAATGGAACTATTCTAACCTTAGATTGTGGTGATGGCTGCAAAGCTTTGTAAATGTACTAAAAAATATTGACACGTACACTTTAAATGGGCAAGTTGTATTACATGCATTAGAACTCAATAAAGACACTAAAAGAAAAACAAAAGTTAATCCAACAGGTAGTAATTTTGCCTTCTCCTACCCACTGAAGTAAAATGTATTATTCCGATCTCAGGGACACCAGATACAGAAGTATATATAATAGTGCCAAGCTGAAAATGGTGATTAAAGGAAAGTTTAAACAGATATGATCTGTATGCTAAATTTTTCAGAAACAAAAATAAAAATGTAAAAAATAAAAGACAGAAATAAAGGACTATTAAAAGATAAACATCAAGTGGTTATAAAGAGATGTTTCTGAAAGTGAAACTGAGAAAATGCTTAAGGAAATATCATATAATCAGAGGACATTTTTTAATTTCTAAGGATCAACCAAGAAACACTGCACACTTAAGAGAAAGAAAAAGACTCAGATCAAGGCACAAATGGAATGTCTTAATGCATTTAAGGGAAAGAGAAAATCTTAGCTTCTAGGGATACAGGATATAAGGAATCCAAATCAGAGGAGACAGAAAGGAAATTCCTAAGTTTATCTTCTCCTTTCTCCTGAAGAAAAGTAGTACCAGAATGCAACTGTACAGGAGAACTGGAGAGCCACCAGTCCAATCTGATGCAGACAGCAGGATGCAGTTATGTTAAGGAAATAGCTAACAGGACCCAGCAGGCTACATTAAAAAAGAACACAGTATTAATGTCTTCAAGGCTCTTCCTCCTAGAAGCTGGCTAACAGCTAAGAATTTAGATGGGACAAACATCCAACTAAGTCTTCTACTGTTAAATTGGCATGGGATCAGGAATTAAAAACTTTCATGTGAAAATCTTCATGTTTTAGATTGTAAAAGGCTACTCCGTTTCTTATTTACACCCAGACTTCTAAAAATGTGGACTTTAAAAAAAATTTTTTTGGCCTTTTTTTGAGTAAGGGTTTCGTTATATGGTTCAGGCTAGCCTTGAACTCACTTTGTAACTCAGGCTCATGGCAATCCTCCTGCCTCAGCCACCCCAGTGTTGGGGATACAGGCATGTGCCACCATGCCCAGCTAAAAATTTAGACTTTTATATCAAAAAATTTCACAAGTTCTCACCTACTAGTATGGCTTATTATCCAGGGCTTTCCTGGGAGTAGCAGAAGAAATTTGTTTTTGAAATTCTGGATGTCAGAAGATTTGAATGTAACTGCTATAGGCCAGGAAACACCACAATTCTTCCAAAGAACATTCAGAGCTGCTAAAGCATGAAGCCTAAATTAAGAAATTTCACTTGAAAAGTGAAATTTAATAATAAAAACTAGAAGATAGGGGCTGGGGATTTAGCTCAGCGGCATAAGCGCCTGCCTTGCAAGCAGGCAGTCGTGAGTTTGATCCCCCTATACCGATAAAAAGGAAAAAGACAAAAAAAACTAGAAGATATAAATAATAAAAACCAATTTCAATAATAACTAGAAGATATGGAAAGCTGCACAATTCTTCATTTTGTTTTATATTCACTGAGCTGACCAAGCAGTTATAGTGTAGTAAACTGGATGCAATTCTGTCTCTACAGAGCTTAAGCCCACAATCCTTGACTCTAGGCTGTCCTTAGTGACTTGCTTTGACCAATGAAAGATGCACAATTCAGACCTGAAAGCTAGAGCATAAGGCTTCATTTCCAGCTTTCAGTCAGGTATCCTGGAATCTCTATGCCCCAGAAAGCCTGCTGCCACTAAAATAAATGATTTTCTGAGCCTTCCATGCTGTAAAGAAGCCCCAACTAGTACAAGGCAACAGAGAACTGCAGCCAGTCCAGCCCGGAGACACACGTGAATGAGGACGCTTTCACAGGACTCCAGGCACAGCCATGCTGACTGCAACTGTGTGAGGGGCTCTAAGTGAGCACCGCCCAGCTACATGCAGCAATCCCTGAGAGAACTAACAGTGAGTGAACTGTTGACTTAATCTACTAAGTTTTGATAATAAATATCCAGAAAGTTGCCATATAATTTCTAAACTCATAAGTTCTCTGGGAACAAAACAAAAGGACTTGAAATCCTTTGAATTACTTAAATCTCTTTATATAAAACTATAATCCTTTATATTTTATAGATCTGTAACAATAGAGGGCTTACACTTACTGAATGTCTACTATGTTCAGAATGCTTTATATGACTTAGCTTATTAAAAAATATTCTTGAACACTTATAAGACAGTAATTATTATTAGCCAAAATTTACCAGTATAAAAAGATTAATAACAGTTATGTATTTCTAACCATTACCATTTGCAAAAGCTGATAAAATCAACATTAAAGTTATGCATTAAACAAATAATATAGAACATTCTGTATATGTGACATATTGGAAAACATATCTCAAAATGTGATGCAAACATTAAAATAACGTATCACTTTAGAAAAAGAAAGCAGTTTCTACCTGATCTAAAGTAGATGGCGAAGTACTTGCATGTTTCATATTTTAGTTGTGATTCAATATCACTCACTCCAGAAGTTAAAAAGTCAAAAGCAGCCAAGCATGGTGGTGCACTCTTTTAATTCCAGCGTTAGAGAGCCTGAGACAGCAGGATCATTGCAAGTTGGAGGCCAATCTAGGTATATAGTGAGTTCCAGGCCACCTTGAGCTACATAGAGAGACCCTGTCTCAAATCTCTCCCCACAAAAAGATCAAAAGTAGCAGCAACTCAGCTGATACTTACCAATTTCCTGCCGAGTGCTGCAAACTCCAACTCCATACTTCTCTAGAACTTTGGCAGCTGCCTCTTGACATGAGCCAGTGTTCCGTGCAAATCCAAGATAATTGTAGGAACCCATGTTTATAACACCTTTAATTATATTCCCTGTGTACCTGTGTTTTAATATCATAAAACTTAATCAACTCATGAGCAAACTGATTTTTTAAAAATTTTTATTTTTTTAGTCTTTTTTGAGGCAGGGTTTCACTATATGGTTCAGACTGGCCTTGAACTCACTTTGTAGCCCAGGCTGGCCTTGAACTCGCAGCAATTCTCCTCCCTCAGCCTCCAGAGTGCTGGGGTTACAGGTGTGCACCACCACACCTGACTGCAAACCCAATTCTTAAGTGTGATAATATATGCGATGGTAACACAAAAAACCATGTACAGAAAGTAGAGAAAACATGATCTGAACAAAAACAAAACAAAACGAAAGCTCAAACTTGCTACCAACTAGGGAAATGGAAGATACAATACAATATAAATATCAATTTCACTTATCAATGTAGCTATTTTAAAGCTGAAGATATCTAGTGCTGGCCAAGATAGTTTCATAATGTAGGTAAGAAAACCCATCAATACTTTTCTTGGAGGGCAGTTTAACAGTTCTTATTTACTGAAAGACAAATATTCTAGTTGGATGTGGGCGTATGTCTGTAATCCCCATACTCTGAGGGGCTGAGCAGGAAAATCACAAGTTTAAGCCCAGCCTAGGCAACTTAGTGCCTTAGCAAAACCCTGTCTCAAAATAAAAATAAAAATAAAGGCCCTAAAAAAACAAAAGACCCTAAGTTCAATCCTCAGTTCTGTATTTTGAAAAAGATAAACATACAGTACTCTTTGATTAGCAGTTCCCATCATGTGCATACACATCGTGAGGATCCTGTAAGAGCCTTTAAGAGTCAATGCACAATTTGCCATATCCCTTTTGTAGGCAGTGACCAGTGACAATTCATATGGCAAAAACTCAGCCTAGCCCTTTAAGCAAAACATGGTTCAGGGGCTCCAGCAAACTAAAGTGGACAGAAAGTTTGGAAAGGAGATAAACTGCCATTGCTTTAACTCCTTGGGATTTGGGTTACTAACACAAGTGACTTAGCCCAGTTTGCTATACCTGGCACTTCCTTACTGTGGAATATTATATAGTCAAATAATTAACTTGCTGCGAATATACACGAGAAGGATGTTATCAATATATTAGCAAATAAAAGCAAATTGGAAAATAATTTATATAGTATAATATCATTTTTGTATAGGAAAGTACCTGTGTGTAGTAACCCACAGATACACCATATACATACCCCACAGAAAAACATCTGGAGGGGGTCAGGGGTATAACTCAATGGCACAGCACCTGCCTGGCAAGCACAGTGCCCTGAGTTCAATTCCTGATATCAAAAAAAAAAAAGCCAAATCAAACCAAGCCAAACCAAACCAAACAGCAAACAAACAAGCAAACAAACAAAATGCCCCTAAAAACAAGTGGAAGAATAACAGAAAGTACAGTGGTAATAATGGTCACCTCCAGAGAAGAAAGGAGGATTTGTGAGGCAGCAGATTTACAGGACAGGTCTCAGTTGTCACAGAGGACTTTCAGTTTATATGTATGTTTTTTTCTCTTTAATGGTAAAGCAATCATGTAATATTTTAATCAAAACAATAAAATGTTAAGAGTACACAATTACAAAACTGTTCAACCTAAGTAAAAACACTCCATCCTTAAATCTTTAAGAGAAATTTAAATATCTAGAAATAAATTCAGATACTATACTTGATTCTGGTAAGCAGCACAATGGTCTTTCTTTCTTAATAAGTCAAATTTCGTTCTCAACTATAACCCAATAAAGAAGTAAATTCGATAGAAAAATGTATTTTAGAAATCTTAAAATGGCACATGAATGTAATTCCAGAACTCTAGGAGGCTGAGACTGGAGGATAATACATAAATAAATAAACAATTTAGTGAGAACTTGTCTTAAAACAAACAAACAAAAAATGCTGGGGATCTAGCTCAATGCAAGGGCCCTGGGTATCCTCAGTATTGAAAAGTCTTAATGAGGGCTGCAGGTATTCCTCAGTAGTACAGCACAAGTCTGACATGTAGAATGCCCTGGGCTGAATCTCTAACATCATCATCATTAACAACAAAATCCAATATCAATGAACAATTTACAAAGCCAATCATACTGTCTGTATCGTCAGCTGCAATTTGTTTTGTGAGAATATTCAACTTGCAATATTTTCTCAAATGAAGAAATCCTTTTCTTGTCAAGAATAATTTCCAAGCCGCCGCCACTCACTTGAATGACCAGTTATAATCATGAGATTGTCTCTCCAGGATGTCCACTCTGGCTCCAGGTACACTACAGATCGGCCGATTCCAGTTGTCCCTTACTCTCATGTAAAGGTTCCTTGTATAGAAGTTTTCAAAATCCTGATACAATGACACAAAGTCCTGCCAACAAATGGTGAGATAGTATAAATTTAACGGAATTACTTTAAAAACAAATTTCACACACACAAAAAAAATTCACAATACCCTTTTCAAATGCCAAGAGTACCTGAGAATGAGTAGTTACATTTAATTAGCTGACATGGCAGGAAAACATCTGGAGAAGTATCAGTCCTGTTTATTTTAATGCAACTCATTAATAGGACATAGTTCAGTTAACTTTGGTGTTTGACCTATATTACACATCTTCAAAAATGGTTATGTAAAAGTGGAATCAATGAATTTAATAAAGTTGACTTCATAAAACTAAAACTTAGTTGAATAAGTCCATCATTAAACAGTCTCCCTTCCAAATAATCTCAAGTAAGACTTCTCCCCTCCATAATACATTAGGAAGAAATGCCACAAAACCCATTATTTCAGTTTCAAGCAAGATAAATACTTCCAAAATTAAACAGTAAAATGTAGGTTATAGGAAGTCATCTATTTTGGATTTTTTTCTACTAGAATAGGAGTTTTTAAAAAGTACATTCTCTGAATACAAAAGAAATAAAAGAAGAAAACAAACTCTAAAAATGTATTTCCATCACCACAGACTTACATTGCCTTTCTTTCTAGGGATCAAACTAAAATTTAAGTCTGCAAAAAAAATCAAGTCACAGTGGAGCTGAAGTGACTATATGACACTGTGCTCAGCGTCTTATGATCCCCCACTCAGAACTCGCAGGACCAGACCACGCGTGATCTACTTCCAACTGTCAGGGGTAGCAACGCAAACAAAATGGAACTCTAAGTTAGAGTTCCATGCTACTGTGCTTCTGGCACTCAGATCTTGGCGTCGTCAATCTAATGTGTTAGACAAACTAATCTGAAACATTTAAGGAATTTAAAAGATTCTGTAAAACATTGGGGGGCAGTAATAGACATTGAACCCAGGGCCTGCACACTAAGCTGTATCTCCAGCCCTTTTGAAATTTATCTTGAGCCTTATCATGTTAAGTCTCTAAATTGCACAGGCTGGGCTCATAATAGCAACCCTCCAGCCTTAGCCTCCCAGGTGCTAGGATTAGCATGTGTCAACTTTTTTGGCTCTTTTTTTTGGTACCAGGAATCGAACTACAACCTTGCATTTGCCAGGCAGGTGCTGTGCGGCTGAGCTGTATCCCCAGCTCAATACTCCTGGCTTTTTAAAAGAGAGTTGTGGGTTGGGGGCTGGGGATTTAGCTCAGCGGCATAAGCACCTGCCTTGCAAGCAGGTGGTCGTGAGTTCGATCCCCGGTACCGATAAGAAAAAAAAAAAGAAAAAGATAGTTGTGGGTCCTGTTGGCGCATGCCTGCAATCCCCGCCCTCAGGAGGCTGAGGCAGGGGGATTGCCATGAGTTTGAGGCCAGCCTGGATTATATAGTGAATTCAAGATCAGCCTGATCTACACAGTGAGACCTTGCCTCAAAAAACTAAAAAAGGAAAAGAAGAATAAAAAGATAGTTATTGCTAAAAAAGATTCCACTTAAAACTCTAGAATTAATAACCTTCTATGAACCAGTAGGATGCTAAACTACCTAATAAACCTTAGGGTATACACAATCCTCTTAAAAAGAAGGATCAGAAAGTATGTCAGAATTTGCAGTTCTTGATACCCTCTCTCTCACACTTCTAAGATTACCTTTCCTTAGGCTAGGAAATCTCCATAAATAATGTGTCAGTCACAATTGGAAATTCTCATTTAAAGCATTCGTCCTTTTTCATAATCTTGATTCCCCATATGGTTGTCTTCCCCACTGGTTAAATGAAAGTAAAACAGAGACATTGATATTCTAATACTTCAGTTATGATTCATTATGCATTTATTTTCCAAAAGAGTGGTCCCTAACCTGTTTCAATTCATCAAATGGAGTAACTGTACTAACTCTTCAATACTGTGAAACCACAATATTAGCAATCTGATTTCACTGCACATTAATGTTCAAGGTACTGTATTAACCCAAATACCTGAAAGAACTACTTCCTCACAGACCAATTTTTCTTAGCAATAAAGAACAATATTTTTTGTTTTGCTATATAAACATCAGGAAAAAACTGTATTACAGAGTCTGGGCCAGATACCAGAAGAGTTATCCATCTCCAATATAGAAAAGGGGCTTCAGACTAGAACCGAAAAGAGCTTTCCCTGGCAGCCTTGGACTAAATTGAGACATCTTGTGACACAGCTATCTGTGGTGAGGAGGGAAGGAATGGGTTTCAATCTCCTCAACACAGACCTGTTACGCCAGGGCCAAGGAACTCTGTCCCCTTATAGCTACAAAGACAGGACAATTAAGCCAGCCCCAAGACAGGAACACACTAGCACAAAGTAAAGGAAAAGTTGTCACATGATGAATATTAGAAACCAAAAGCAGGTAGGACAGAATAACAGAAGAAAGGAACTCAGGCTAAAGTTTTAGCTTCCCTTTACTCAAGTTCTGGAGCAGTAGCTTTGACTACAGTGGGAAATTCTGGTAGAGAGACCTGAAGGACAGTTAACCTAACTCCCCGATGTCTAATAACAAAGAAATGGGACAGAAGAGAAATAGACTCAAGTTCTAAGGATTTTTTTTCTAAAAATATTTTATATACTTTAAATATTATAGTTTTTTAAAAAGATAGGGTCAAAATAGGGGGTTCATTCAAAAATCCTTTAATATGCTGAATTATTTGACTTTCCAGGATATATTAAAGAACAAGGCAGTTTTCTCTTTTACCCCTAACCCCAACCTCCTGCTTCTTCCTCCTAGTTCAGTCACTGTGAAATGAGTACTAAGTGCTGACCTGGTAATACTCAGTCACCGAAAATTTACTGAACAGTATCTTCCAGGTACTATGATGGGCATCAGGGATAAAGTAAGTTAGAACAAACCCTATGATCCAGATGATCCCTTAGTGTAGAGAAGAGCACACAAATAAATACTGTAAAGGGATGTTTGCCCAGAGATTGAGACAGCACCTAAGTGATAGGTGTGTGACAATGACAGAGTCAAGCTCAAACAGCCTTAAGGATATACTCCTTACTGACAGCCTTCTTGAAACCCTTCAAAAAGCACATGTATGTACGGAAAAATAACATTGTACTTAGTTATGACTACCTGCTAGATTGTTGTACTTTTCAGTTAAGCCTGGCTCCTAATCTATTTAGAACAATGCAAGATATTTTCTAGAAGCTCACTTTATATAGGTTTAACAAGCTGGGCACGGTGGCACATGCCTATAATCCCAGTACTCAGGAGGCTAAGGCAGGAGGATCGCTGTAAGCCAGCCTGCGCTACAAAGTGAGCTCAAAACCACCCTGAACTGTATAGCAACACCCTGTCCTAAAAAGACAAAAAATAAAATAAATTATGGATGCTGGGCATGGTGGCACACACCAGTAATCCCAGCACTTGGGGGAGGCTGAGACAGAAGGATTGTTGTAAATTCTAAACCAGTCTGGGCTACAAAGTGAAGTTCAAGGCCAGCATGAACTGCCATAGCAAGACTCTATCTCAAACAGACCCAAAAAAAAAAGGAAAAGAAAAGAAACATAAAGATACACGTATGTGTAGATATTCTTGTGGCGAGGCTATAGATGGGATGTGCATTATACCAGTGAATACACACAAGATTTGTAAGGCCATATAGGAAGCACTCTCTAGCCAACGTTCATGTTGGCAGCATCAGCCTCAGTCCATGTTCCATGGCCATGATGGCAGTAGCTGGGTAGTTCCAGCAGAAGCAGTTTCCAGATCTGGGGCCACTGCTTACTTGGGTGAGAGAGGCCCAAACTGCACTGCTCCAGGTCTCTACAATGTTACAAACAACTAATTCTTTGCTTACTGAAATGACTTTCAGTGATTTTGGTTAACTCTGCTGAAACTTGACTATTTCAATAGCACATTCCCTATAATTGTGATTGAAACGTAAATAGTTCACATGCTGTGTTTTTACATTAAAAGTTTAATTGTCTAAGTCAGACACCATTAAGTGATAGAGCTGAAAAAAACTCTAGCACCATTCCTTCTAGAATTATTAGTTGTAGTGCTAGTAATCTCGGTAAGAATCCTCGCTCCCCCTTTTTTTGAGGCAGAGTTTCACTATGCAGTTCAGACTGGCCTTAAAACTCCCTATGTAGCCCAACTGGCCTCAAACTCACAGCAATCTTCCTGCCTCAGCCTCACAAGTGCTAGGAGTTTAGGTGTGTTACCATGCCTGGCCTCCAGTAAGAATTTTCAAATCAGTTCTAACATAGTAATTTTTATGTATATCAGGTATAGGTGTTAATGGTTTGTATTTTTCTTCCTTTTTTTCTTTTTTTGGTTTCCTGAGTCAGGGGTCTCGCTATGTGTATGTGTTGACCTGAAAGTCACAAGTGGCCTCAGCGTCCCGAGTGCTAGCATTACAGGAGTATGCTACCACAAAAGGCTAAGTTACACGTCCCTCAATAAGCCCATACGGTAAAGACTTGTTTGCCAGGCTGTGTGGCTAATGGGAGGTGGTGGAAGCTTTAGCGGGTGGGGCACTGCGGAAGGAAGTTAGGTCATAAGAGAGACAGGGACCTCTGCGTCTACTCTCTCTCTCTCTCTCTCTCTCTCTCTCTCTCTCTCTCTCTCTCTCTCTGCTCCCTTGCTGTCATGCGGGGAGCAGGTTTGTTCCATCATATGTTCCCTGCCACAACTTGCTGCCTCACCACAGGCGCAAGGGCAAAAGAGGCAGCTGACTCTGGATCCTCTAAACCTCAGCCAGGGTAAACCGTTCCTCCTTTTCACATTGTTTACCGCCAGTATTTTGACACAAATGAAAAAAGCTAATAAATGTCAATACATTTAAGGACAAAATTTCTCTCAAACAGGAGCATTTGAAGCAAAAACGATACTGCTCTGATACTGAGGGGAAAAAAACCTAGAAAAGATGCTAGTGTTTCAGAGCTTTCTCAGAAACAAGATGATTTAGAAGATCAGCCCTTGACTTACTGTGTCAGTACAGGAGGTGTGGG